AAAACAATAGTAATAGAGTGATGAAGTAACGCGCGCTCCGTCGGGAAACGCTTGTCGCAGCAGACGCACGCGTATCTGTTGAGGTGACGTCATAGCGTCGCATGCTATCTCTGTTTGTTGTATGAGGATGACAAGGATAGCAATAGTCGTTGTGGTGCCGTAACAAAGCTTCTTGTACGTGACGTCACAGCGTTACATGCTATCTCTGTTTGTTGCACGAGTGTGACAAGGAAAACAATAGTAGTAGAGTGATAAAGTAAAGCGCGCTCCGTCGGGAACCGTTTGTCGCAGCAGACGCACGCGTATCTATTATGAGGTGACGTCATAGCGTCGCATGCTATCTCTGTTTGTTGTATGAGTGTGACAAGGAAAACAATAGTAATAGAGTGATGAAGTAACGCGCGCTCCGTCGGGAAACGCTTGTCGCAGCAGACGCACGCGTATCTGTTGAGGTGACGTCATAGCGTCGCATGCTATCTCTGTTTGTTGTATGAGGATGACAAGGATAGCAATAGTCGTGTAGGTGACGTAACACGATACTTCGGGAATTGTCGCAGCACATCTCAATCTATTACCGTACGTGACGTCACATACTATCTCTGTTTAATGTATGTGGATGACAAGGATGGCAATAGTGCTGTTATTATAGTGGTGACGTAACGCGGTACGTCGGAAAACGCTTCTCGCAGCAGAGCACGCCTACTATGTACGTGACGTCACACCATCGCATGCTATCTCTGATATATGAGTATGAAAAGGACGACAATAGTGTAGTAATCGCGTAATTACTGTAACGTTATGTGTACTGTTAAAAAAATAGAATTGAAAATCTAGATTTTTCTAAGCTGATGTGAAAGTTACTGATAATAAAATTCCATTTTTAAGTTTTTAATTAGTTTGTGTCTGTTCCGGATAAACTCCGGAATGTCTGGATATTGACAGAAAATATACTAAAAAGCAGTTAATGTGTACGAGAAAAATATAGGCAATATGTTATTTCAAATAGTTAAAGGTGAAATCATTTCGTAACTTACTTTAAACTTTGAAGATCGACGTGTTTTCTACTTTTCAACAAATGCTGTTTCAAACTGCTTGGAGATTTGAACCTGGAAAGAGACAACCAATTAAAACAGCTAAAAAAGCATAAAAGAGAAAAATCCGAAAAAAATGATTATTCCCAACCGTCACCCTGATTAGTCCCCACTTGGCAATAAAATGTCTCATCCGTCCCACCTTTTAGTACCACTATCACCAATAAAGTGACAGAAGCCGTTAAGAAATAAGTTCCTACCGTCCCCACGTTTCAATTGGTGGGACGGATGAAACTTTTTATTCTCATATATCCACGTGGGGACAGTGCGAGGTGACGGTCGGGATTAATCAAAAAATATAAAGACCTTATTTCATTGTTTACAGTTGTCAAATTTTTAATTGCAAATGTCATAATTACCGTTTCTATAGCAACCTTGGTTCTGTTTTTTCCAAATTATTTACCCCCTAAGTTTAGTAGCGTGAAAATATATAGCCTAAAGCGTGATATAAGTGTAGGGCTTTTTATTAAAGAAAGAATTATTCAAAAATATGGTGTAATTGCTGACATCTTAGGTAACAAAGTTTGTGTTTATTATAATAGTATAGATTACTCACCTTGTATCACATTCAACGCAATAAAACTCCCTATCATTAGAATGTTTCCTCATATGATCTTTCATCTGAGTTCTCGTCCGGAATCTGGCGCCGCACTCCCCGCACACGTAGTTCTTGACACCATCGTGTATCCTGCAAAGTACAATTTGACAGTGGAGGAGACGCATAGGAAGGGG